TATTATTTAATAATTTTTTTATTGTGTGATAATAATTATTGTACTTATATATAACTAATTAATAAAACGAAATAATAAAACAACATTAAGCTAAACACTCTTTTACATTTTTAAATTAATTTTACATAAATCAAGATAACGTGGAATGATATCGTAGATCGTAGAACATTAATCATTTAAATCTAATACAATTTACTGCATGCGTCATGTATATTTATTTCTTTACACATTGAAAATATAATTAATGTATTATATTTTATATTTAAATAATTATCAAATATCCGCAATATACATTTTATAACGATATGTCGGATGATATTCCTTGTCTTTTATACATTAACAGAAAAAGTCAAACGTATGGATAATAAGTTGAAAATTATTCGGTTAACAAAAATAATTGAAATACTTAGTATGTAATTAATATGTAATTACATATTAGAAAATTTGTCGAAATGTAATATTTTATTAATAAATTTATCGTTTTCTCGTAATTTTTTATATTTACAGCTTTAGATTTGGCTTTATAATTATATATGTAAATATTTATACGTAATGCTTTAATAATGTCGTGAGAATAATAGTTTGTTCTATGAGTCTCCGAAATAGTCCTAGTATTATTACATCTATATAATCTTAGAAATGACATCATCATATTACACATATAAGTCTTAAGTATATGAAATTGTAACAATGCGCAATGTCATTCTCTTCATGTATATAGGATATCTTTTTCTCGTACAATCTTTTAGCTACATATTCTTTGTTAAATTAAAAATTGAGGCTAACCTAGCAAATATAAAGTTACACGTAATGTATCTGTTAGTCGTAATTTTCCACTCGACAATATAACTGTAGTATAACACACACACGTTATATTACAGGTACATTGTGGAGTGGAAAATTATAACTAACAGGTACGTCACATGTTTATGTTTGCTGAAAAGATAATTTATAATTTAAAACTATTATTTTTTCTTTGTATTAAAATATCTTAGCAATTATACATTTTAATTTTTTGAACAATAAAGAATTTTTTAGAAGGCCATTGAACTTAATTAAAAAACATCTCATGAAGTAAAGACCTTTTAGTTTTATCCTTTTATAACAAATAAGTTATTAACATACTTTTTAAACATCACATTTAATATATTTTTATTTGTATTTCATCTAAGTCTGAAAGTTTGCGCAGTGACTATTACAATTTCTTTTCTCTTATTCAAAAATCATAAAATATTCGTAAAAAAGTTTGCAAAAATCATAACTTGAAAATATAAAATTATAAAAAGATGTAACGTAATAAAATTAATAATATGCAGATATTGAAAATTATCAGTATACAGAGATGTTAACATTCCTTAAACAATATTATAAATAATATAAATACAACCTATAGGATAAACAGACTGCTCGACGAAATTTGTTCGAGACGTTTAACATTTTACGAACACAAATTCAGACATCAATTATATTTAAAACAGAGAGAAAGTAAAATTTGCTAAAACATTAAGAAAATATTTTTATAACTTTGCACCACTCTCTCATGCTTATATTATAATTTGATATGATCGCTTTATGTTATTAACTTTCATTTTCTTAAAGCCAATTACTAAAATTTTAAATAAACACTGATTTACTGACGGAGCAATATATTTGAATAATTAGTGATAGAACGTGATGCCGTATTTCCATTACTACTTTCACATTCATTAAAATTATTGGTTTAACAATTATAGCCTCGAAATTGTTCCACATGTATTATTATATGTTATTTATTTATTGATCAGAAACATGTAAGAACACTCTTTGAACATGTGAAACAGATAATTGAAATTTATTAAAAATTGAATTCTATTTACACTATCATTTTCAAGTTCTTGGATACTTTTATTATAAAATATGTATTTTACTTTTAAGAGTATCCAGAAATTTAAATGATAACGTATGAATGATAACGTAGACATGTAATCTCAAATATATAATGATAAATGAAAAATCTCTCTTTCTCTCTCTCTCCCCCCTCCCTATCTCCCTATCTTCTCCCTCTTCATCACCCCCTCCTTCTTCCTCTCTCTTTCCATCTTCTCTCTTTTCTCTTTCCCTCTTTCCATCCTTCTCTTCTCTTTCTCACTCTCACTCTTTCAACCTTTTCTCTCAAAAATTGAAGTGTATTATAAATGTAAAATAAATCTATTGTACACATGGCGTCATAAATGTCTTGACACGCGAAGTTGCACGAGTATCAGAGAAAGAATAAGAAGAAAGCATAAGAAAGAATGAGAAGGTATAGAAAGGATAATTTGTGAGGCCGTGTGTATAATATTTCTTATTATCCATTTATCGAATACTTATAATAGCAGCTTCAAGAAATTTCTGTTGACGAATAATTAACTCATCATTAATCAATTTTGCAATACTGCGAAAAGAAAAAATTTTCCCATGAGAAAGTGGATGATAGTAGCATTCTATAGCTTATCAAAAACTAAGAAAAAATCTTTAATAATTTTTAAGTTAGAAACTTTATAGTTTCTAACATCACACAATAAATTTATATAAATTTATTATTACCGCGCACATTACGAGATATTTGCGATGTACTCTCTGGAGTGGATATAATTTCATTGAATTCAGATTTCAACGCCTCAAGAGAGGTATACAAAAAATGACTCCCGCATATTTATACATTCGTGGCAATATGAACATACATTTTGCCGTGTCTACGAAAAGAGAGATTAAATTTGTCAAAATCACATTAATTCTTAAAACCCGATCAAGCGTGTAACCAGAAGCATTAATGGCGTCCAATACACTCGTATTCATGAAGAAACTTCACTATTAAATTCATTTTTTCTGGCAGATTCTTTTCCCCAAAATAAAATAGTAAAGTTGTATTATTATTTACGTAAATAAAAATATAAATATTTTTTACAGAAAAATTTAACGCACACGTCATTAATGCTCCTATACGAAAAGAACAGCAGTTTTGCTCAAGTATCTAAAAATTTAGATGCAAATCTAAAAATAAATTTATTGAACCGTCAAACTAATTACGTAGAATACTTAAACATTGTTAATAATAATGCTGAAAAAAGTTTCAACATTCTAATAATCAGTTTGAGCATCATACATAATTATTTCGATGGTTCAAACAAAATAATTTTCAGATTGGACTGGTTTAGTTAAATTTTTCAATATTTCAGCAAAAAGTCGTTCCTTTTGCATATATATTCCGATATTCTATGTCTACCCATGAGCACTCGGGGCGATCCCTGCCGTCACTCCTTCATGACCGAAGGACACATGTTGGTACGGAGTGCCTTGTACAGTCATCGTTCTGAAATCATAGCTCGTGGGGTCTCCATGGTCTTCGCGTACGGCATAGCTTTGTTTGGATTGAGCAAAACTGGGGAGCCAATTGACACCGCCAGATGAACCGCCGAAACTAACACCTGATAGACCGGTGGTTGGGAAACCAGCGTGCAGCTGCTGGGGCGCAGAAATTGGTCCGGTCGCCGCGAAGTTGGCACCGGTGGCCAACACATTCGGCCAGGACTTGGTGAGCTCTTCCAGTTTCCTCTGGTACTCGTCCATGGACACGGTATCCTGCAGAACGATGCCATCCTTGTTACCAGCTATAGTTGCCGATGGTATACCCGCTGGTACTATCACAGCCCCTTGCACCCCGGTGGCGGCGGGAATGTTAGCGGAATTGGCTGCGGAAGCAGCGTGAGCATACGCGGCTGGTGAGGTGTCTGAGGAGAGGCCTTCAGTGCCCTTCAAGGAATCCTTGCTCTGTTCTATAATACTGCTGAGGGCCTGTTGGTTTCTCAGACTGAGATCTTTCTCGATCGAGCGTGCGCCATAGTATTTGTTTAGGCTATCTTTTACATTGCCACGCAATTCATTTCTGGCAGCGTTCTCCATGTCCGAGAAATAGGAGTCTAACTGCGGATTCTCATAAGAATGCGCTGTCCCAGATACCGCATAATCCTGACCTACCGATGTGAAACTCGTCGGTGGATAGTCCGGTTGACGTCCGTAAGTACCGGCGTATCTAAATTGGAAAAGAAAGGAAGCTGCTTGAATATGTTAGGAAAAACTAATAGAAATTAAGATAGATATACCGTTTAATCGATTAACTGGTATCGCATACTGATTGACTCTTTCAAATATAGATATATTATTTATGTGTATCTAATCTTTATTATATAGGATATCATTATAATTAAAGTAAAAGTTGAAAATAAAAGTTTTTCGTCTATATAAAAAATACTTTTTATAATTGTCAGGTTATTCGTTCACAAATTCAAAAGCAATGTTTATATTTTTATCAAAATTGTGCAACCAGGTTCTAACAAAAAAAATAGCTCAATTAGAATTAATTATACTATATGTAATATAATTAATTCGCTAATTATTTTCTGTTAATATTTTACTAATTACAATTAGAATATTATAATTACAAAGATAAAACGTAATCAAAATGAGGATAACAAAAATAATTAAAATAAATTACGCTTAATGTAAGATTACCTTTCATGCACAAATGGTAAATTATTGCTCTTGATGCTATCATACGGAATGTATCCTTTGCCATAAGAGATGCTGTGACTAATGTCTTTGCCGTGCGGTACATGCACGTGATTCACAACTTCAGGACTATGATCAAAATCATCACCCCCATGTGGTAACGGTCGGAATGATTTCGTGTAACGATTACCGCGACCATAATGTATGTGACGATGAAAGTCGTTTCCACCGTAAGATGATTTCTTATAATTGCCCGGAGGTCGCCATGGCACTGCTGGGCTCCGTCTTACTTGTCGGGGCACAATTAAAACTACCTTTCTGAAACAGCAAAAATATAGATAGAAATATTTTTTTGATACTTTATATTATTATTTATTAGTATTATATTAGTTTTTTAACCTTATCATTTTAAAAAGCATATTTAAAACCTCCTAATTAATGTTATCGATAGGAATTATGAAGAATGATATGTTCATAAAATTGTCTGAAATTTATTGTTTTTTTTAATAGTTATATGCATATAAGTTATTACAAGTTTTTTAATGTAATCATTGTTTTTTAAATGTACATTTAAAATTTCGAAAAACTTTATATATAAAAAACAAATCAACTTTCTACCATTTTATTATCAATCGAATTTAATTATATATAATTATCCTTAATTAAGTATATTACACGGATACTTACGCATGAGTAAGAAGGGGCTCGCTAATTGCTAATAGCAGAACGCAAAGAGCCTGTAAATATTAATTTCCGGTCAACATTCCTATTAATTGTAAGTTTTAATAGTAACGGGAGTGTAAACGATAGAGTAAATCAACTGTCTATTAAGTGGACAAGTTTTCGCACGAAATTACGAAAATTTAGTCGTGTGTAGAATTTCATTTGAAAGAATTACACATTTTGAGGCACGCAATCCTCATACGCTACGGTTAGTGCTTAGTTTACCATAAGTAGCATAATTATTTAAACTTGCAGTCCGTTATCGGGTCTCGCCTCTTCCTTCACTTAATCATACTTTCATTGATAAGTATAGTAAGACTTTCACACGATGAAAGTTAATCCTGTTATTTACCAAGTTCTTTTGAGTTGCATTCTAGAAATTAGTTTAAACATAAAATTCGAATAAGTTGTTACTTCTTGTAAACATACACATATATGTGTAATTAAAAATATTAAAAATTATTATTCATTGTTTTTAATTTAAAAAAAAATGAAGATTATTTTATTTTTTCACGCGCTCTCTTTTTGAGAATTAATATTCAAAATGTATAATCCATTAATTCCGAATAATACAAAAAATATTTTTGTAAAACACGTCCTAGATGCAATAATAAAGAATCATAATGTAAATTATCTTTATAGTTGTCAAAATTTTTTAATTATAATATTAAATTAAATTAATTATTAAATTAAAGTATAATAAATTGTTGCGTTTCAAAAAATTAATTCGGTCAATATTCTTACTTTTTTGAAATAATGAAAAATAATGTACAAAGTGTTTCAAATTTTTTGCAATATCTAATTAACGAAATAATAATTTCTAAAGATTGCCAAATAAGAGAGTAAAATCGACATATAAGCAACTTTAAGATATCTTTCAGAGTTCTTTATATATAGAATATCTTAAAGAATTCTTAAAGATAATTTTAGACATTCTGTTTGAATAATTAAAAAAAAATTGCAAAATGGTATAGGATTTTTCAAATCAGTTTAGTCCACCTCTAAGTCCACAAGCAATGTATCAAAAAGACTCAAAAATTTTGAGACATTCTGTTTATAACACGTCATAAGTTTATTAAGTGTATTTCTTACTTGTAATTTATGAGTAAAAAACAATTATTTAAACATAAATCATCAAACAAAAATTAATAACTACATTAATAATAAATAAGGTAATCAAAAATACAAACAAATAAAAATAAAAATAATATAAAATAAATTATGATTTAAAATTTTAAAAGATTATCTATCTTCTTACCCTTTTTCTCTTACAATTATGAAATCAGATTACTTTTAAACAACATAAAATATTCATTCATTCTTTCATTTTTAATTAATTACCAGATAAAATCATTCAAAAAATAATAAAGTTTTCCTGCCTTTTTTCAAATCATTATATCTCTTTTAAATTTCTTCATAAAGACATGCAATCTAATTTTAAGAACTATTCATCAACATAATTACAAGAAAAAAATTAAAAAAATATTATTACTTCTCAATTAAAAAAAAGGATTAAGTGAAATCCATAATTATAAGAAAGTATAATAAATAACCGATTTTTTAAATCGAGAAATTCGAATGATCTGACTCACCATGTACCGCATACTGCCGGCCCTTAAATGACTCGCGCCGCTGGTCAAGCCTGATAATGCGTTCTTATCCGATCTGTTGTCACGTTATCAGTGTCGTCGCGAACCACGGGTAATGAAAAGGTGACAGTTGCTCGTCACCTGCTGACCGATCAAAGGCCCAGGATCCAGTCGTGCTCGCCACCACGGATGATCCAGATGTATTGCGGCTATCTGCGCATTGCCTCTTCTCTTTTATACAAGATAAAAAGAGCATAGACGCGGTGCATAGTCGCGATCGCCTCCCACCGTGGAAATGTACCGGCGATCGACGCGTCCGCCGTACCATCATGCTGAATGGAAATAGAAAACGGGCGGTACCGCGCGAGATGGACCCCCGCGGCCTTCGTTGCTAAACGTGGCCGGGTGAGTCGTCTAATTTTTGTTTAGGGAGAAATCGACACTTTCTTTCATCGAGACGGACAACGTCAACAGTGCGATGTGATGGGCGTATTCATCATACGAGATGCTGCAGCAAAATTCCCTCCAATTTTTTCCCTCGAGATACAGTGTGCGATGAACCTAGAATCCGATCCGATAGATATATCTCGCGCTATCAGTTCTATATGTGAAAATAAAATAGCTAGATTACACTACATCGCAGATATATGCAGGGAAGGATTTCGTCAAATGAAAGTTAGACAGTGACTAATAGATAGCAATAGAAAATAACGATAATAAATAGAAAATTTAGACAGCAACAAAAAATTGGTAGGGTTTATTATTTATCGTAGCTATGCCATATGGGTGCGGTAGCAATGTTAGTTTTTATCTTTTTAATCTTTTTTTAGAACTGAACTACCGATTTCGATGAAACTTATAACAATTACAGAGAATGATTTTTTTTTTAATGTGATAATATCCCTATTTAGAAGCAAATGATTAACTATTTCCGAGATACTAAAAATAGAAAATCCAAAAAAATGATCAATTAAAAATTAGTCCCGATATAAAAAAACGGTACAAGAAACTAATTTCATAATGCCTTGTGAGAGAGATATATGTGAGAGAGAAATAACATTTACAATGACAGTGCGTGCAGGAAAAATTGCTAGAAACAATAATATCAAATATAAAAAATATCATGCAATATTTATAATTCAAAATATATTGCTGATTTGAAGGAAAATTGAAACGCAGAAGATTTAAATTTTAGTAAACATTTATTAAATTTAAATCTTTTGCAGCACGAACTTTCCGGACAACCCAATATATTTTAAAATGTACAATATCCAGGAAGAACTATAAATAAATATCGTTTTTTTTTTTATTTTTGATCAGATACATGTACATTATATTTTATACACATATGTATATTCATTTTTAAATGTTTACATACAGGTTTTACATACAGGTCATTTATTTTTATCTGCTACTTTGCAAATTAATTTTAGACTCTTTGAAAGAATTTTCCCTTTTAATCTCGGAAATCTTAACTGTCTGACCCTAAATAAGTATGAGTTGTTCAATCATTATAATTCATTATATTCAAAGGAACTCACTCTATATAATAATTCTACAAAGATTCATCAAAATTTTTGGAATTCGGTTCTAAACCTTTCTCTGTTATTTTTTATTTTACATCTATTTTATTTCTTATTTTATTTAATTAAATTATAATACCCCTCCTCTAATAGAAAATAAATAAGGTTTCTTAAAATATCTTTTTTATCATAAAATTGTGAGAGATTGTATGACATATATTTAACTGTTACACAGATATAAGAAAAAGCATTTTAATTACTCAAATATGATTTAAATATTTTCTATTAGGAAAGAATAGTGAAAAGATTTTTATAAAAATAATTATAAAATAAAACTAAATTAACAAAAATGAATAAATAAAGAATAATAAACTATGAAAAATTAAAAATAAAAAGGCAATATATTAGTAAATTTGAATTAATAAGCTACAATAAGAATTACGTTTAAAATTAGAGTGGATTATATGTCAGAGAATTAACAAACAATGAAATAATTAAACGTTGTCATAAATTTGTCAAATTTTATCTTGAACAAAAATTAAATGATTATTGTTAATTATTATTCTGCAGGTGATGCACAAGGATGTGTTAATACGACTGTAAGCCGCACCCAACGTATACTTTCCAAAATACGAATAACAAATAACAAGAGAATGTAACTACTCCAGCAATGCGTCTCACGGAAAGTGTTCTACATTTACTATATTGCACTTTCAACGCGCGCGCGATCAATTCTCAAGATGTTATATCTAATGTCCAGGAATATTATTTAACTTAATTTTATTTATATAAAAAGATACTCTTTTCTTATTTTAAAATAATGCGAATCTTCGCATTATAATTGTAATATTTGTAAAATATTATTTTCAATAAACTGTTTATGCAATACTTATAGATACATTTCTTAAAACAATAGATTCAACACAAATATTATGCAAGTATCATAAATGAATCGTAACAAAAGATAAAAATAAAATTTTTTGTACATTAAAAATGCGCTTAAACATATCTACTTCACGTCATCATTTATCACATAAATAATTAAATCATTAGCTTAATTTAATATGATTAAATATTTTTCTTTTATTCAATTATATCAATTTTACTCTTATCTTGCTCTTATTAAATAAAAAAATTATCCTTACTCGATAACTAAATCGAAAGTTATCAATGTAATCGGACATTAAATTTAATTTGTAACTATCGTCTGTAAATAATAGGTGTACAAATAATTTTCTTTAATTCTCGAGAAAATAAAATTCACGAATTAAATAGTTATAAAGTACTTTCTTTACTACAATGCCAATTTGCATTCCTATCGTGCCAGCTGTGCTCAATTTGATGTGATTAAAAATAAAAGTTTCACTGACAAGAATAACCGTGAATTTCATATTGTTACGGTCCACATACATCCACATAAATCCTTTCTCAACGCGTCGGGACAATGGCGTCATTAGAAGCATACGTTAATTAGCTCATTCACGCACATTTATCTACTTTCTTGCATCGAATTCAAGGTCGAGTTTCTAACCTCATACCTTTTTCAATGGGAATTGGATAGCATTCTATTTCCTAATCGGTACTACCTCCTTTTTTAGAGAACATATAGAAGATCAATCCTTTTAACAATAAATAACAATTTTTTAAATAATTTCTTCCTAATATAAGTGTTACACAAATTTTGAAAATACGTAGCAACCAAACACTTATTTGAATACTGAGTTATTTGAATACTGAGTTTTCTTAAGTTAGGAAAGAAAGAAAGGAATGAAATGAAGGACGTGACAAAAAATTGTGAAAGTTTCTATTTGTTTCCAAAGGAAGAGATTCCCACTTGAAATATGATTTATAATTCAAATTATAGTAATCTTACAATAATTGAACAAAAACGCACGCTGCAAATTTTTGATTAATATAATAAATACAACAAAAAATGAATTAAGTTGAAATGTAATTTTTCATAATTGCAACTCTTCACACGCAATAGTTCTACGAATGCACTTTGGACATACATCTGAAGATGTATCTGAAGATTAATACTATACACAAAGTTATCATTTTTAAGATGTTCTTAGTCACGCTTTCGACTAAACAATTTGGTATTTGTCTATGGACATGTAGTATTATATAGTTTCTATTTTTTAGAAAACATTATGTCTTTTAAATATACATGAAATATTTGCGATTCGAATACATCACGTAATATTAAAAAAATGCCATAATTTTATTTCACAATTTTTTTATATTAATATTTTTTTTATCCAATTCATATTTTAGAATTTTTTTTTAACAAATGTGCTAATGTCTGATAATTAAATTATAATCTTGTGTGTGTGTTTTACATAAACTTACGGAAATCACAATTAAATGACAAAATATTTAAGTATACAATTATGTTTGATTCAATTAATATAATCAAATGTATTAAATCAATTGTCATAATTCGCGTAAACAGCAGCGGAAATTTAGCAATAAAATCTGATGTTTGGAAATTTCACTGCGGAATAAGAAAATCATGATCTTTCCTTCCGCGTTTTCGCAGAGTGCTAATGTTTTAAAACATTGCGACATGAACGACATATAAATTGATCTATTATGAGATCAAATAAAATACGTTCTTACATTGAAGGAGAGGGAAAAAGTTTATAACAGTTTATATTTTAGCATAAACTTTATGTTCCGTTCTTAACATGATGTACTTCACATTGTGATCACCTCGCATTGCGAATCCATTAGAACATCATGTATTATTAACTCTATAAAGCGAAATTGCGTATGTGTAGAAAGTAAAGAGACTTATCTAATATTTTTGCAATATGTGTTATAATAATAAGTAAAATTTAGAACTAACATAAGATAATAAGAACAAGTTTTAAAATTAAATATAATGATTATTTTATATAGTAATAGATGTAATTATTAGACAAATTAACGACATTAATATTTTATAGCCTTGTAATTACAATCTTATATAAAAATCATGCATACAAATAAATTGTTATTAATTGAAAAATATATTTAAAAATATATATTTCTAATTAAAAAATAAACATAACGAGAAAGGCTCAAAAATTTAAAAAAATTTTAAAAAAGACAAAAGAGAAAGGCTACGAGTCAAGTCAAAATCGATTCCACCGTATTAGTTTCACTATTAATCATTCGTTAGCTTTTTTAATCGATATTTTGTTTCCCTGTAAGTTTTTTTATCTCAATTATGGTCAAAGTTAATTAATTACATTGTCCAGTGCACACGACTGACGTGATTGTTATGAAATCAGTCTAGCTTTGAAACATGCTATTTGATATTCATCTGAATGTCCGAATCCGTGGCATTTTCCTAGGACGACGCTGCAATGTCGACATTCTGAAACGTAACACCTTGTACGTTCACTCCGATCCCGGTCGGATTGAATTCCTCTAATAGAGAGTTCACTGTCACGGTCTCGCGAGCTGTAAGGAAAAGGATAATCCGTATCGCGTTACTCGTTTTTGTTTTCTCGCGCGGCGCAACGACGTCTCCCGCGGCACGACATACACGTATAATTTGCTCTTGCGCGTGTTTTACGCGAGACACACCGAGATCGGTTTCCCTTTCTCTTGTAAGCGCATTTTGCGAAGGTGAATGCTCAGCGAGTGAACGGTCCCCGGTCATCGCCTCGTAGTTTATGCACCTTCGCAGCTCGGCGCGCTTCTTCAGGAAGGGGAAATGATTCCCTCTCGCTTCCGTAATTTACTAGCGATCGACAGCGCACGCATTTTCAATGCTGCTTCCAAACGTACATCATATACAATACACTTATTTCTTTTAAATTGTTATTCTTTTTTTACACAAGTTAAATATTTATTCTAATTTATTAGAATAGAATTTTTATTAAACAGATAATGCGTTCCGAAAAAATTATATATATTTAAAAAAACAAGATTTATTTTTAAATTCTTTTTAAAATGTCTTTTTAGAAATTCTTTCGGAGTTTAAATTGAATTTTAAAAAAGTTCTGTATTATTTTTTTCTTTATTTATATTTTAAAATTTATCTTCTTTGTTTTGCTAAAATATGTATTATGAAACAATGGTATATAATAATATATTACACTTTGTGTAATATATTATTATAATTTCTATTCATTATAGAAAGTCAGTGACATTTTTTAAGCAATTTAATAATAATAAGAACTAATGAGAACAGCTAGTATAAAAAAGTAAATTAAGAAGTCGCGCAGAGAAAGTATGGGAGTGAACAAGTCGCTAATAAATCATCTATAGCATTTAAAAAAGAAGTCAGTAAAAGTAAGTGAGTAACTTTGCAATTTCAAATCCAATTTTACCCTTCATAATTAATTAATTTTGTAATTAACTCATATTTTAATATAACACATAAATATCATCATATTTGTAACTTCTAAATTCACACAGTTATAAATGTTACTATAATCAGTTACGTTAATTATAAATCTTCCAATTAAAAACCATCTTTTAATTGAAATAAGATTTTCCATTATTTATTTATACATAATTGAAATTGAATTTAAGAATTCTACAATATAATACTGCAATATAAAAAAGTAAAAAGTAAAAAATAAATATTAAATCGAAAAAAAAAGAATTTCCATATTAAGTATGTTTTGAAATAGCGCTATTATAATTTTCACATATAAATTTATATTTAATAGTAAACTTGCAGTTTGTAACTCTAACATAGGGTTATTCTATTAATTAATTCTCAATTAAAATAAAATTTTATAGAGATATTAATTTGTATATTCCTCCTCGTATTATACAAATCTTGCGGAAGTATACGTCTTTGTTTTAAAATTGCTTTAAATTATCTAAACATACAATTAAGGAACATATAGCTACAATTCCAGATGTTCTAAGAGATAAAATAATGTATTTCGAATTAATTTGATTATCATTAAAATTTACAGATACATAATGCATTTATGATAATTATAACTAGTCTGATTAATATTTATAATAATTATAAATGCTCTGATAAATATTGATAACAATTATAGATATCAATTAGATACAAATATTTTTAACAAAACCTTACAGTTAAAAAATTCCAAAGCGCGATGTTACAATAATACTACAAAATACAATTGTATAATTTCAACACATCATTATTAAAAATGTACTGTAATATCTAACAGTTTTAGCATAGAATTATAAATGTTTGTATCAGAGATTAGTAGTTTGCTGATAGATGGCAGCAATTACTGAACTTTCAAATAGAGTGCGGCAGAAACATAGATAGAGTTACTATCTTATCCATCTACAATCTACTCGAAATTTTCCAAAAATGTTAATTGCATTCAAATAAATAAATTTATTATCTTCGCTTTTGAGAAATGTATTGTAATTAGGAAATATAGAAAATATACTATTTATAAACTTAGATATAAAAGATATTTTGTAAATTTTTTTATAAAATACATATTGTAATATATGTATAT